ATCTAAACGCCTCTTTTCGACTAAGCCAACCGTAGGTAACACGAAGTTTTGGATTGTGGAGTGACTGACTCGCCGTTCCAACCTGATTTCAATATGTTCTATCACACATTTTGCAAACTCTGACAAAAATCGCAATTAATTGATTAATTGTGGCTGCGCCACCATTTAATTAATTGAGATCAAATAATTGCAATTAATTGCCTTCACAATTAAATTTTCGGTACACCTGATGCAATTCTTATCGTTATGAGTGCTGCCAAGGGAAAAGAGTACATCGGTTTTTTTAAGTATATCATTGATTATTAGTTGATTCTGTCACGCATCGGGATTCTGTGTCAATCGGCAAAAATAAAAAAAAATTATTTATCTTAAATTTTTTTTTATGTTTTTTATACTCTAACAAGAAAAAAGTTTCTTATATAATTTGGTATAAAGCTTGTTCTAAATCATTTTCTAATTCCAAGGCCATATATTGGTTTTCATAACATTTAAATTATTTTCTAACCCACCCGCCGATTTTTTTTTTTTATATACCAATAAACTTCATATATAATAAAAATTTTAATTTTAAAAGTCAAACGCAGGACCCGGCAAAAAATTATAAAAATTTTATTTTATTAAAATATAAAATTTAAATTTTATTTTAGCTTTTATAAATTTTATATGACCTAACCCAAAATTAGATGTCGATCAATCTAGACTGAATGATCGACATAACATCCATACATGCTATAATACGAGTTGTATAGCCATGGTAGGTAACTCTAATCCACGATACAGTAAAAATATACATTCTTTACACTTCAGACTCCGGACTATCTAAAAAGAATGATGGTAAGGAACCAGATATTATTTATAGTGTTATACCTTACGTCGTTTCAGAAGGTTCACAAGGTAAACCTACAAGTTACTGATGTTTACGCGTTTGGTGTCAGGATAGAAATGTCAACCGGACAACAATCAAAAAAGTAGCACAAGCCAGAATTTTTTGGTTTTAACATTAATGTTAATTATCTACATATGAGTGTCTCCAAGGAATTCTAAAAATAGAATTCTTTAGATGACGGAATGCGGACTTTGAATTATACTATTATTCGATATAATTTATTACTCTAGTCTGATCTCAGCAACAATAATCATGTGTCCCTATTCTTCGTTATAAAAGAAAATCACGAATGTGATTATAAAATTTTCTTTCTCACATGCACTACACCAAAATACCGATGAATAAAATGAAACATTTAATTCCAATTCTTTTTTTTTTCATTACCCTATCATTAATTGGTATTTTTTTTCTTCAAACGAATTTGGTCAGAGATGTAGGTTACATTACAAGACCAATATGGGACAAAAAACCAAAACCATGGAACGTTATCAAACATTATTATGCAAGTGGCATTCCATCGAATAAACTTTGTAAATTACATAATTGGAGACTTAGAGAGGCATATCCAAAAGTATTCGATGCAATAATTTTTAGTATAGAATTAGATTTATTGGAAATTCGACTGCATGAATTATGGGACGTAGTTGATAATTTTATAATTTTGGAATCGAACAGAACTTTTACTGGGAACAACAAAGAAATGTATTTTGCTAAAAATAGAGATAAATTTTCTTGGGCTGAATCAAAAGTTATTTACAAGTCTTATAATGAGCTAGATAATCTAGAATATGGTGTAAGCCCATTCAAAAATGAAGGCAAGATGCGAAATTATATGAACTCTATAATTATTAATGAGACAGGCGTAAAACCAGGCGATCTTATAATAAATTCGGATTTAGATGAAATACCTTATAAGCATACGATTGACCTTTTACGCACTTGTGAAGGTTTTTCTAATGAATTACATTTGGAAATGCGCGAATACGTTTACTCCTTCGAATTTTTTACTGGGTTTGATAGTTGGCGTGCAAATATAAAGACTTATGCACCAGGAAGTAATTTCTATCACCATGGTCGGTTATCCGATGATCTACTATCTGACGCAGGATGGCATTGTACTTTTTGTTTTCGTTATATTTCTGATTTTAAATTTAAAATGACATCTTACTCACATAACGATAGAGTAACTAACCAAAATCTATTAGATGATAATGCTATCCAAGATAAAATTTGTGAGGGTAAAAATATTTTTGGAATGTTCCCTGAGGCGTACACATTTAAGGATTTAATTAATAAACTAGGAAATATTCCGAAAAGCAATTCATTAGTTGGGTTACCTAAATATTTGTTAGAAAATAAGGATAAATTTCCTTTTTTGTTACCAGGAGGGTGCATACGTGAATTTAGAGGATAGTAAATTATGTATCTTAACAGTTATGTAGTTTTTATTTGGCAATTTAATATAGGGAAATTATAGGCATCTCTCGCGGGATATACATATCCCAAAATTTCTTAAAGTTTATTTATTTAGGATAGCATTTAGTTTAGGGTTAGAAATGTTAGAAATAAAAGGAACATATGTAAATTTGCTCAAGGAAAACTTTTTGTTAGTGCACAAAAGGAGGTTTCTTATGCGGTCTTTTTTTGAAACTGGCTTTTGTTTTCATAGAAGGCTTTCGTTTGATTGGTTGATGTAAAATTTTTTTTAATAATTAGTTTCAGAAAAGCGTTGCCTTTAACTATATATAACAAATTATCTTAAAATAATCAAAAAAAAACAAACGACTTATTTCGAAACAAAGATGATTAGGTGTATTATTACTAGAGTTGTTAATGAACCTAATTTTATGTTTCACCAAGCTTTACCATGAAGTTTCTCATTGGTGGTTCTATTTAGTTACATTAGTTTCACCTGCAACTCTAATTATTACATTTGATCAAAATCAGTAATTAACATTCTGAAAAAAGATAACTGAAAACATTATTGCAAAGATTAAACTAATAAAATTTTATTATATTATGTGAGAGTAGACGATGCATTTTGCCAAAATTGTTCTAATAAAATTGTAATAAACTATTTATTAGTTTTTTAATAGCATGCTCAACACAACTCTTCTCAATGATCACTTAAATCAAACTAGCATCAAAACAGTTGAAGAGTTAAGTTTCTAAGTAGACAGCATTTTTGATTTTGCATCAATATATAAAGCAGAATGTTGTTGATAAATGAGAAGTACATGAAAAAACTAAGATGTAAACAACTTTTTTGTTAGTTTGTATTAAGGTCAAGTTTTTTCTTCAAGTAGATTTCTTAACATATTTAGTATTCAAATCAGAAAAATATTTTGAAAACAATAAAGAAAAACTTTGGTTAAAAGTTATAAGAAAGTTATAAATAAGACAAACAACTGAAAATATTTTCTGTAATTTGATTTTTTATATATTATACTAATTAATCTTTCTTTTTTTTTAGTATTTTTTACTCAAAAATAGGAATATTAGTTTCTTCCCTATAAAAGATTGACATTATTTATTATTTTTCTTTTTTTGAATGATTATATGTTGTAATATAATGTAATAAAAACACAATAATTATATATATAGTTGAACATATAGTATAATAAAAAATAAAGAAGAATTTAAGTTAAAGAATTATAGTAAATTAGATATATAGTAATTTTTGATTATATATATAATTTTATTTTACACTTATTTCAATCTTTTCTTTCTAATTCAATTTGCTCTAAAATTAATTTCTGGTATATATAATAAATCAAATATTAAACTAACTTCTCATATATAATTACTAATACTCAAATCTAAATAAGCTTTAGTTACTTCTGTTGGTTTAGGTTACAGATAAACTAGTCTAAGCTTTTACTCTTTTTATACTATTTTTAAAAGTAAATTTATGTTTTATATAAAAATTTTAAATAAATATTTAATAAAGATAGAAGCATAACCTTACTATTAATATTAAAAAAAAATTATATATATAAAACTTTTATTCTTTTAGTTTAAATAAAAGTGTAGTTAGATCCTTACAATAAGTTAAAATGTTAGTAACCTTATTAGAATAGTTATAAAAAGATATATTCTCTAATACTTTTGTTTTTTTCCTTTCTATAATTCTTTTAGCTTAGTTTAGATTAGTTTTTTTTTTTTTTTTTTTTACTTTCTTATAAGAAAGTATTATTAAATTGGTAATATTCTATTATAGAATAGCAGTTAAAAATAACTTTTCAAATAATAACTTGTTACTGTTTAGCATAATAAGTTATTCTTAAATACTTATAGAAGTGACTAAAAAAGCTAAGACTTAAAAATTAAACTTGTATTATTAGTGTTAATATTTATCTAATAAAAAGATTATTAATATAACTATCTAAGTAAAAAAAAATAAAAAAAATAGTATTTTCAAATTAGTATATAGTAATCTGAAATTTTTAAGTTTACTAAAATTAAAATTATTGATTTTGAAGAGTAATTTTTTTTTTACTTATATTAAGACCTATGTTAATAATAATTACTGTCTTTATTATAATTTTACTTATATTTATATAATTTATACAAAGTGAATATGCAACTAGTTATATATACAACTTTTAGTTATCTATTTAAATAGTTTGCTTATAGGTTCCACACTGGCTACTATGTCTGTAATGTGTTAGAAGATTACTTAATTAAATATTCTAATCCTTATACTACATCTGATAAATAGTATACTAGTTTTTATATATTTAAAAATTATTTAACTTTACATATAATTTCTCTTTTTGTACAAATATTAAGTTATTATTACTTTAGAACATATCATCTAATTGTAAAACTTTAAGTGTTTTTCTATTAATTAACCTATCTACTCTATAAATAATTAACAAAACTATGCTTTTGCAAAGTTTACTCAGATTTTAGTATTCACTTTACAATATATTTTTAGTACTTTAATATACCTCTATTTGTTATCTGACTTTTAATTTAATAGTCTGATAGGATCTTTAATATACCAAGTTTAACCTAATATGCTTTTTTTTGGTTTGAAATTTCTGATAACTTGGTTAATAATATCTCTTATCTAGAAGTTCTGAATTTTTTTATATTAGTATTCATTTTTTAGATTTAGCTTTTGTAATAATATTATTAAAAATTTGTATTATCTCTTTATTTGAGTTTTTTCAAATAGATATTATTTTTTTTAGTTTTACAAATTTGCATAGTTACAAGAACTTAAGTTTGTATTACCTAATACTAATTAGCATCTTTTTATATAACTAAAGTTACAAAAATATCTTGTTTACTGTATTATTAGTAGTAGGAGTAAGAGGATTAAGTTTAGAAATAAGTGGATTGTTGGTACGAAATATGTTAAGTAATTGTTCAAGTTCATAAAGTGAAGATGCTTAAGAGGGTTCTTGTTCTGAATTGATAATAGATTGTTTGCTGGCTTTAGACTTAGTTTCAGTTTTGAGACAGGATTTATGATATAGATTGTTATTGAAGAGTTCAGTATTAGTAGCTAAATAATGTTTATTATTAATTATTTTGCAATTAATAGGTTGATTGCACTTGCTGCAAGTATGTTGATATATAGTTATTGCAGATGACAAGATTGAAGATAGTGGGATGAAGTTAGTAGACTCAATAGTTTTGAAAACAAATAATTTTTTATCATTTGTTTTTTTAATAATATTGGTACTTTGGTGTTGTTTATAGGTAAGGTTTTTTTGTAAATAGAAATATGTATGGTATTTTTCACAGAGACACGTAACTGTGTTGGTAATAACAGGTGCTTAGAGATAGTAACAAATTTTGATGCTACTTCTAAGCTCTGTAGTAATGCAAGTATTAGGTTGTCTGTTAGCAGGTGTAAAATATAATATTTGTAACATATCTTTATAGATTCCAATATCAAAACTTTTTAGAAATTTTTTATAAAAATAATCCAAATCAATAGAGTCAGATTCAGAGTTTATTAAGATTAGCATTTTGAACTAGATTTCTTAAAAAACTGAACTTCTTTTGCTTGGTAAAATTTTGAGTTATAAGTCTTTAAAATTTAAATATTATTTTAAAATTTATTACAAGATAGGTTTTGTATTTATAGAAGTATTACTGTGACTTACTGCAGCTTGTATAACCTTGTGTAAACTAGGTGACACAAGTTATAGCTAGTGTGGCTAATGTGGCTAGTGTGGCTAATGTGGCTAGTGTGGCTAGTATAATACAAATTTATAATTAGTTATGTATTACAGTAGCTACTATGTAATATAATACAGAATTTATTTTTAATAAATTAATACAGATTATTTTGTAACAAAGAAAGATCTTTTTTGGTTAAATTTAATTTATACAATGTAATATTAAATAAAACCAATTTAAGAAATGATTTAAGATTACACAAAAAACATATAAGAGAAAAAATTTGGAAGTAAAGACAAAAAAATTTTTTAAAGAAATAATAGAAAATTGAAGTTGTTTTTTGTTATAATTTTGTCAAATTTGAGGCTAAAAGCTTCTTTTTGAGCTTGTTTTAATCGAAAAAAATGCTTTATAACTTTATTAGAGCAGTATTGTATATTAAAAAGTTAGTTAATGAAAAATAATTAAAAGTTTAGTTACAGAAGTCAAAGGCCATTTTAGCAGTATTAAACTGCAAGTTTAAAAGTTAGAGATTGGTAACTTTCAAGATATATATAAAATTGTAAACTGGACAAGTTTATTTAAGCATCAAAATTAGTATTATAATAAAATAACTAGTTATTAATAATTTTGTTACTAACAAATTTTTGTTATTTTTGTATAAAAAGATTTACAGAAAGAGTTTTTTTTTTGAAAAAAAATATATATATTTTAATAGAACTATTTTTATTATTTTATTAGTAAAATTTTCAAGAATAAGTCAATTTTGATCATTACAGATTTTTGCAAAAGGATTTTCAAAGATATATAAACAAAGCTTCATCAAAAATTAATCTTATTTAATAAATATTAATCTATTTGATTTAAAATTTGATATATGAACTCTTTAATATTATCTGTATTAACTTTATTATTATTATATAGCATGTTTTATTTAATTATTATAATCAAATTTAATATAATTATTTTTTATAAAAATTAAAAAAAACTATCAAATGAGAAACCATATTTTATAAAGGATTTTATTAAGATAATCATCTTTATAATATTAATAAAAAATATTTGTCTATCAAAAAAAGGTATAGTTTCATAGAACTATTTTATTACTTCATTAATAAAAATTTAAAAGATAAGCTAATTTTTATTATTACAAATTTTATCAAAAAGATTTACAAAGACATACAGATGAAGCTTCATCAAAAATTAAACCTATTTCATAAATATTGATCTGTTTGGCTTGAAATTTGATATGTGAACTCTTGAATGTTATTTGCA